TAGTCATTACCAAGAGTGTCCTTTCTTTGTTTAACGGTTGTTCGTCTCCTTGCAATGTCTTAACAATACAGAGCACTAGTCATTACCAAGTATCCTTTCTTTGTTTAACAGTTGTGCAAGAGAAGACACATAAATATGTGTACTACAACTCAAAGAAGAAAACGTATTTTCTAGGGAACGAAACTTGGTCTGAAACGGGTAAACACTGCACCAAGACGCGACGAGTTAGGTCTATCAAGAAATCAACTAGAAAAAAAAGGCTTTTTCCGAGTTACGTTCCTTATGGCCGATTTCTAATTGGTTTTCTAACTTAGAAATATGTAAATATAAGGGAAGGTTAGGCCAAACATATTTACTACGGGGTGTCAGTTATTGTACGAACTCGTGCGAAAAAGACTGCAAGTAGCCCCACAGCAAACATCATTCAATATGGCTGCGGTCCCGGCAATGCACACACACGGCACGGCACTGAGCTTTTTACAGTTATACGAAAATTGCTCTATAATGGTTCGACACTTACCTGACGAACCCAGACGTTTGTTGTTAGCATTTGATGCCTGTCGTTCTAGAAGAACATGAGTACAACGTTTGTTACTGCCGGGCAAGAAAAAATTGTGTATCCCCCACCCCACCCTTCTTCGATGGACCGCAGCCCTCTACCTTAATAGGGGCAAATGTTAGCTCAATTATTTTATATTATTACTTTAAATAAAGTTTATTGGTTGATCAATTCTCCCCCCCCCCCCCTTCCCCATCCCTATAGCCACACTAAACCCTTCACTCGGACTCTGACATGTAGAGTTGAATATTTAAAATTTGATCAACGAAACTCACCACATTGACCAACTGCACGAGTTCCATCCCAAACGTAACATTAGTCGTGATATTTGGGTTGACTGCGGGTCTGGCTTCTTGTCTGTATTTCTGTAACAGTTCGTTGATAAGTTTTTCCTCTGGACTAGGAGTTGCTTCGAAAAGAACAAAACGCATAATTATAATGAAGATAACTCTGTCCAAGTACTTCACATTCTTTTGCTGTAATGTATAAATGTAAGAATCAGTATAAATGGAGTTCAAACGTCATAGAAAGAGGTGGAGATGATGGATGGAAATCTGATCCACGATTTTCGCTAGCTAGAATAAATAAATAAATAATTCAATCGATTATAGAGCGAAAGAAGATATGAGAGATTAACCCTATCTTCGAAGACTAAATTGGCATTTTTTGAAGGGATGAAAACCGGAAAGCCCGGAAAAAAACTCTCGAATCAAGGAAGAAAACCAATAACTCTACTCACATACACACTGCCAAGCACGATATACAGGAATCAAAAACCGGGTCGCATTGGTGAGAGGCGTCTCATTAGCAGGGCATGTCACCCGTGCCTTCCCAAGACTGCGGAAGGTTGTGGGTTCGATTTTCAATAGGAAGGAAAACCAGGGGTGCTTACCATTTAAGCCAATCCATCCGCGTCCGTTTTGAAATTCACTGGCTAATTGTAAGAAAAGAGCAGGAAAATTTGACTTACTAGAAATGGTCACGCGTCTACCGGAAGAACCAAAAAGAGCGAGAAAAGTAGATTACCTTCATCATCAGAAGACCGAGTTTTCTGGAACTTTCCGATCGCAATGACAAACACCATTTGTTTTCCAACCAGAATATTGCCGGTTTTTCATGGTAAAAGATAAGCACCCCAGAGTTCTTTCCGGATCGTTTCAACTCGAATTACAGAATTCAAATATCAAATATAAAAGAGAAACATACGGAAAGGAAAGACACAATATGAACACTTTTCTATTAATATGTGAATGCTTTGGTCACAGAGAGAAATAATAGCCAAATATTTGCTCCAAATCTAATAACTATCACGTTAGTATGTGTGATTGAGATGCCACACTGACCATTTATTGACTGTTGTACGTTCGTCTTTAATACAATATTCAGAGCATCCAAGACGCTTTTTCAAAGTGCGATCAGAGTGCGGTTATTTCAAATTGGGACGGCTGTGTGACAGTTTTAATATTTCATTCAAAGTGCGACATAGCAAATGCTGTAGGACAAAGCAATTCTATTACTAATCATAAAAGTGGAAAACAGTTTTTACCTGATGCCGTTCTAGTTTACTTTTGAATTTTCTGGAATTTTCCCAATCTTATTTATTCATTTGTCTTTAAGTTTAGGGAAAATATGTACGAGGGGAAATTTAATAAAATGTACATTTTTGGCGATTCAAAAAGAAAAAGAGGCAGTGAAATTTTGAGACACAGTACACTGATTTTGAAAGCCATTTACAGTCAACTCTCGTTACAGCGGACACCTTCGGGACCGTCACTTGATGTCCGTAATAGCGAGCGTCCGTAATAGCGAAAATTATTACGGCCATTTCTTTGTCAGTATTTTTGTCGGGGATTTTTCTCCCGTCCGCAATATCAAGGTGTCCGTAATATCGGGGTGTCCGCAAGGCGAGAGTTGATTGTATTGAGCTTTCGACTTTCAAATTAACTCAAATCTTCATCATTGTTTCTCATAATATTTACCACTACAGATAAATTTATATAATTGCTTTGCCATGTTTTCAATGTCAAACCATACAAATAAACTTTGCGGAATTAGAAACGAAAAAATAAGAATTAATTGAGTTTATAATTGTCAATGACCAAGATCTATCCATTCATCTTAAATTTTGATTGGTTGTCCCAAGTGCAAATAAATAGACGAAAAGGACCGTTTGAGCATGCGCAATGCAGAAACACATTTATGAACGTGCGCATTAACAACCACTGATTCAATTCAACATGGCGGGATATCAAAGGAAATGCTTAAATGAAAAACCTGTGGGGAACATAAACACACGAAAATCTTTCAAATGTTTAGTGATATATAATAGACCGTTTTCAAATTAGTCAAATACTGCTGTGGTCCTTGATCACAGATTCATTAATACAGGCGTTAGCCTCATGCATTTCAGTGTACAAATAGTACACGATAATACGGCACGAACACGGCCATAACACGGCTAGGGATACGCCAGACAAATCACATTGCACGAGAATTTACTCTCTATCCAATCAAATACCCGTAACACGGCATAAACACGGCGCGGACACGGTCACGCCAAGGTCACGGCAATGCCAGACCAATCACATTACGCGTGAAAAAAATCAGCCAATTAAGATTCTAGAAAGCATCACGGTCACGGCCGGCCTCACGCTTACGACACTGAGCTTTTCACAGTCATACGAAAACTGCACTATCCACAAATACCAACAAAATTATGATATAGGATGCACAACTTCTACAAACAACGTTACCATGGACCTTCACTGGAGCTTGAAGACATCGGAATATTCAAAGTAATTCCATATGAAATCGATGCTAATCCTGTACACAGGGAATTCGAAATTCGTGAAAATTTAGCTACGCGGCCTCATAACCCATATAATTTAGCTATACATAGGCAGCCCAAAACAAGGGCGGATCCAGGGGGGCAAAGGGGGGCTGAAATCCCCCCTTCAGCAGAAAAAAAATGATGCTATTTTATATTGTTTTCCGTTGTGTTGACGGAAGAAACTCAATTAGCCCCCCCCCTTTAAACTCAATTAGCCACCCCTAAAATTTTGGCTGGATCCGTCCTTGAGAAAGATATTTTATACTAAATTCATATAAATGTATTGTAAATGTATCGTAATTATTTTTCATATTCCTCTTTATGCAAATTCTTCTCAGTATGTAATCTCTTGGATGGAATAATGATTAAAATGATTGATTGATTGAAGTTTTTTTGTGTTGTCGTTGTTGT